AAAAAAAAAAAAAAAAAAAGAAATCTAAAAGGACAAGTTTGCTTTAGCATGTACTAGTATTGAAGACTGGAAATAGAAAGAATTAGTTGGAAAACAGAGAATCTAGAAACAGGTTCATGTATATAAAAATTCCTGTTGTTGTTAGGTGCTGTTGAGTCAGCTCTGACTCATAGCGACCCTATGTACAACAGAATGAAACACTGCCTGGTCCTGTGCCAGCTTCACTTTCCTGGGTGTACCTGAGCCCATTGCTGCAGCCACTGTGTCAATCTATCTCGTTGAGGGCCTTCCCCTTTTTCATTGACACTCCACTTTACAGAGCATGTTATCCTTCTCTAGGGAATGGTCCCTTCTGACAACATGACCAAAGGAGGTAACATGAAGGCTCGCCATCCTCACTTCCAAGGAGCATTCCAGCTGCACTTCTTCCAAGACAGATTTCTTTGTTCTTCTGTCAGCCCATGGTACTTTCAATACTCTTTACCAACACCACAACTCGACAGCATCAACTCTTCTTCAGTCTTCCTTTTTCATTGTCCAGCTCTCACATGCATATGAGGTGACTGAAAATACCATGGCTTGGGTTAGGCACACCTTAGTCTTCAAAGAGATGTCTTTGCTCTTCAGCACTTAAAAGAAGTCTTTTGCAGCAGATTTGCTCAGTGCAATACTTCATCTCATGCCTTGACTGCTGCTGCTATCATTGGTGTTGATTGTGGAACCAAATAATATGAAATCTTTGACAACTTCAATCTTCCCTCCATCCTGTTGTGAGGATTTTTTTTTTTTTCTTTATGGTGAAGCATAATGAATACTGCAGACTATAGTCTTTAATCTTCATCAGTAAGTGCTTCAAGACATCTTCACTTTCAGAAAGCAAAGTTTTGTCATCAGCATATCACAGTTTGTTAATGACTCTTCCTCCAATTCAGATGCCACACTCTTCTTCATCTAGTCCAGCTTCTCAGGTTATTTGCTCAGCATACAGATTGAATAAATATGGTGAAAAGATACAACTCTGCTGCACTCCCTTCCTGATTTTAAACCATGCAGTATCCTCTTGTTCTGTTTGAATGACAGCCTCCTTGTCTATGTATAGCTTCCTCATGAGAAAAATTAAGTGTTCTGGAATTTCCATGATTCTAAATATTATCCATAATGTATTATGATCCACACAATCCAATGCTTCTGCATAGTCAATAAAAGAGGAGCTCGGGTGGAAGAGTGATAAGGCACTTGACTACTAACCAGAAAGTCAGTGGTTCAAACCCACCAGCTGCTCAGTGGAAGGAAGATGGGGCAATCTAATTCTGTAAAGATAAACAGCCTCAGAAATCCAAATGCGAGTTCTATGAGACAGAAATGACTCAATGGGAGTGAATTTAAAGTTTTGGTTTAGTCACTAAAACACAAATAAACATCTTTCTGGTATTCTTTGCTTTCAGCCATGATCACCTGACATCAGCTATGATATACTTCATTTCACATCCTCTTCTGAATCCAGTTTGCATTTCTGGAAGTTCTCTGTCAATACACTGCTGCAACCAGTTTTGAATTATCTTCAGTAAGATTTTATTTGTGTGTGATATTAATGGTATTGTTCAATAATTTCCACACTCTGTCAGATCACCTTTCTTTGGAATGGGTACAAATATGGATCTTTTCCAGTCAGTTGGCCAGGTAGCTGTCTTCCAAATTTCTTGGCATAGATGAGTGAGTGCCTCCAGCATGGTATCCCTTTGTTGAAACATCTCAATCATCAATTCCTGGAGACTTGTGCTTTGTCAGTTCCCTCAGTGCCGCTTCAACTTCTTCCTTCAATACCACTGGTTCTTGATCATGTGCCCCCTCCTGAAATGGATGAATACTGACCATTCTTTTTGGTACAGTGCTTCTGTGTATTTTTTCCATCTTCTTTTGATGTTTCCTGTATGAGTCAATATTTTGACCATAGAATCTTTCAATATTGCAGATTGAGGCTTGAATTTTTTCTTCAGTTCTTTCAGCTTGAGAAATGCCAAGTGTATTCTTCCTTTTTGGTTTTCTAAAGACTCCAGTTCTTTGTACATTTCATTATAATAATCATCTTTGTCTGCTTGAGCTGATCTTGGAAATCTTCTGTTCAGCTCTTTTATCTTGTCATTTCTTCCATTTGATTTAGCTACTTCCCATTGAAGGCCAAGTTTCAAAAAGGCTATTTGACATCCATTTTGGTCTTTTCTTCCTTTCCTGTCTTTTTAGTGATCTTTTGCTTTCTTCATGGATGA